TTCAAAAAACCAACCCCCAATTTAAAAATAAAAAAAAAAAAAAAAAAAAAAAAGAGCCACAAGGGTGCAATTATATTAACATTAGGGTCGCACACAATTATTCACATTGGCCGTCAAAGTAAACATCGTAGGAAACACATGTTATGGTCTACTTTCTCTCAGCCTATGTCATGTTCTTCAAAAATAAAATGGTTAGTACAAATCTTAATTTGCATATTTCTCGATATCTAACTTGAATTCTTGTACTATTTTGAGAAGTCTAGCATGCATTACATGATTATCATTCCTCTTCAGAAACCGGCCAAGCTTCTTGTTTTATATGGAATTTAAAAGTGTAGGTCAAGGTCTTAATGGGGTACGAGGTTCAATAATTTCTATAGTGAAAGCATCATGATGTAAAAAGGTTGTAGCCTTCACTAGTATGCTGAAATTCTAACTTTAGATTAAAAATCATCTTACTTTCCCAATAAAACGGAAAAAAAAAATGGAATGACTGAAAACCAATCATGATAGAAAAGCAGACACTAAATTTTGCAGAAGTAAATAAAGATAGATGCATTTTTTTTCCGTCTCAGCCAATCATTGATGCCCACTTTCGGTAATAAAACTTCATGTTCTTCAAAACGAAAAGAAATACAAACCATTCAGTCTTAAAACTGTACAGAGATACGTTTATTGGACTCTTTGCTTTTGTGACTTGTGTTCAATGGAATGGACGAGTTGGCTAACGACCAGTGAAGTGAGATACTGAAGCAGTGGCATTAGACTGTGTTGAACCAGTAGAAATGGAACTGTCTACTGGTAAACTCTTTCCAGAATCGAAAAATGAAGGCCTGCTTGGAGCCTTCTGCTCAACTGAGTTATCAGTTAAAAGCATGACAAGAACTTCGGACATGGTTGGCCTTGATGAAGCCGGTGACTGTGTGCACGCCAGAGCAATATCTATCAGTTTCTTCACATCTTTGGCTTTAAAGTCATTTTCATCTAATGTCTCATCGACTAGTTTCTCTTCCATTCCAGCCTCATGCAGTTTCCATGCCTACGATAACGGAATATATTTAACAAACTCAAACAATTTTAACAAGCAAATGGAAAAATGCGCTGCCTTGGGAGAAAAAGATACCTCTTCGAGTAAATATTCAGTGTCAGATTCATCATTCATCTGAGTACATCTTCGGCCACTAATGACTTCAAGAATGACTACACCAAAACTGTAGGTGTCAACTTTCTCCGACAAATGTCCATGAATAGCATATTCTGGTGCTGTGTAGCCCCTGTGCGCCAAAGTTAGCAGTTAATGTGATATGCTTTTAATTTTAACTTTAATGTAACCAAAAATGAAAAGAAAGTTGGAGTTCATATTTCAAATCAATGCATTACTTTCAAAGGGATATCATGAAAATCCAACCTCAAGGCTAGACAGAACTCTGTATTTATCATTTCTATTCGTTCACCAGTGAGATGCCATAAAATTTAATTTCCTAATTAATCATAATCTGTACGTATAAAGAACTCAAATTGCATCACTGAGAGATATAAGTTGATTCAACACACATCCAGACATACGAACCTCAAAATTATCTGAGAATACACAAACACAGTTATGTGAACAATATGAAAAATATATGTAAATTGACTTGACATGCATTGGATTTGAAGGCTAATAAAACACAGAGAAAGGCAGACTTACAAGGTTCCAGCAAATTTAGTGCTAACATGACTTTGATTTTCAGGTAGAAGTCTTGCCAATCCAAAATCAGCAATTTTGGGTATGAAGTCATTATCCAGCAATATATTGCTTGGTTTTATATCTCGATGTATGATACATACATGGTATTGATCATGCAAATATGCAAGACCCCTAGCTGTGCCAAAGATTATATTAAATCTTTGTTTCCAATTGAGCGTTCCCCGTTTATCACCTGTCGGTCAAGCCAAGTGCATATATGTGGTTATAAGACGAAAGAAAAACAAGATAAAATTTAGAATTGCACGGATACAGATAAAAGTGTCACTTTATCAAAACCTGTTTTTTCTCACAGAGGATGATGAGAAGGGAAGTGAGATGTTCTCATTTACTCATGACCAAGATTTATTCCTTTATCTGTTTAACCACCATGATTATAGTACTCTGACTCCCTCAAAAGTTTGTTTATAAACACATTGAACCAAGTAATTACTTTCACAGATATGCATTAAAACTTAATACTATGTGCTTGTCTGTTCTTGATGAATTATAGACATATAATATTTATATGAATGCTTGTTTTAGCAACAGAGTCTCACTCCAAAAGCAAAGAGAACTTGTTCATTTCACATTTCACTTATTGAATATATTCTTCTCTGTCTCAAAATATAAATGATCAAAACAGATTGATATGTGATATGAAGCCACAACAATGTAATTATTATCCTAGCACTTATATGAAGATAGATAAGGATAGATAAGGTTGACATACCGAATAAATATCTATCAAGGCTCCCATTTGGCATGAATTCGTAAATAAGCAACAGTTGTCCTCCTTTGGTACAACACCCTAAGAGGCGGACTAGATTGCGATGGTGAACATTACTTATGAGCCTAACTTCAGTCTCAAAATCTGCCTTTGCTCTGCTGATACTTAAATCCAGTTTCTTCACAGCAATAATATTCCCATTTTGAAGAGTGGCCTGGCAAGTGCTACAAGTCAGATAGATATGTGTGATATTATCTGTTCTATAGCAATTGATCTACAAACGTCTGAATCAAAATACTATGGATGTCAATGAGATAGTAGCTAAAGAATTTCATTAGGATAGAAAATACAATTAGGTTAGAAGGGTCCTTCTCTACAATATTCATTGTTAACTATTAGAAAACACAAAACTAAATGAAATTTCTTGTATAGAGTACCTTGTATACATCGCCAAAACCTCCTTCTCCTATTTTGTTTTTCTCACTGAAATTGTTCGTTGCAGATTTCAAATCCTTGTAATTGTAGGTATTGGGGCCTTGCAATTCTGTTGCCCCCAATATGTTACCTGGTAGAAGAGATTTTATTGTTTAAATAACAATGGAAATTAAATTTTAATACTTTGTCTTCTCGAAAATGTTCCTCGTGATTGAACTTATGACTGAAGATAAGATGCCAATTATGAAAAGGATATAACAAATGTAAGGATATATAAGAAGTTTAACAATTCATTCAATAAAAGTAAATTACCTCTTGCAGCTACTTTTTGCTTTCTTGATAAATGGTACCAGAGAAACAAAGCAGCTATAATCAAAACAAGACCTGCACCTCCAACTACACCCCCAATTATAGCATTTTTCTTGCTTGAACCTCCTGAAAAAATTTCACCATTTTATTATCAATTTCACCTCATGAAACATTCAACTTGAATATCGTAAATATGGAACTCCAGAAAAGGTGATTCAAAAGAAATTTAACTTGATCACAAATTTAGGGGATATTCTGCCATAGTGTGGATCCTATAATCCTATTGAGAATAATTAAAAGTTTCTGCATACATCAAATTAAAAGGGTTTTAACACACAGAATGGCATAATTTTTACCTCCTCCTCCGAGAAATGGTGTGATATTTATGGTCTGATTTTCGGCAAAAAATGCCGTATTGGAGTACCTAATAAAACAGGCGGCATCAATAGCCCTTCCATCTGCATTAGGTAAACAGCCGATTATGTTCCGATACGCGACCGTCAGGCAATCCTGGCAGCCACTTTGGGAAATGGTTTCAGCACATTGCGCCACACCATAAATCGTTGGACCTCCATTGCCTACTTCAGTATTAGTCGCCGCAAAGTAGCCGCTAATTCTTGGTGTTGCAAGCTCAAGATTCTGTAGAAGTGTTTCCGCCGCCGCATTGAATGCAACTGCCGGAGATGCGGTGCGATTGCTGCATATCTGTACATTGCCCGGAAGAGTGGTTTGGTCGTAGAAACTGTTGCTCTCATACCTGAACAATAATAATCAAAATTACGAATCTATAAATTTTATTTAATCTTCTAGGAAATTATTATTCAACACATAAAATTTTCTTTCTCCACGCCATCAAGATTACAATTTTGTTCGCGTTGAATAGGAAGCTTCTATTGGAAATGGCATTTGCAATACATCTGACTTTTGAAATAATAATAATAATCAAAACGTACGAATATTTGTCATTATCGTTGCAGCTGTCACTGCCTGCCGGCCACTTTGTCTATCAAAAATAATGCATTTACATCTATGTTATTTGAGTTAGTTTACTTGTACACTTTTCGTGTACATAATTGATTACTTTCCGCACTTGAAAGGAGGCACAGGCATAATAAATTAGGGTTGTGCTGTGTAACACATGGAGGGAAGCTCATGTGTCATATAATATTCGTGGATCATTTCCATATGAGAGGGGTGTAAAGCTATATGTATACCATCAGGTGTACACACAACATTATCCAATAAATTATATGACGTCCCCTCCATGTGGGGCGTAAAATATTATGTACACAAAAAGTGTACATACAGCGTCATCCATCTTATTTCCTATCCAGATAAGAACTTTCAATTGCTAATTTCTTGTCATCAATGGTCAGGATGAAAACTTTCACCCTTAGTTATAGTTCTCTAAATTTACGACAATTTCAGAGAATTATTACTATAGTTCTCGTGCTCCAATGGGAGCAAGAGATTAGGTAAAATACCATTATTCTTTCTTATCCTTCACACGGTCACATGCTCTAGAATTTCTTGCTTTCTTCATCTCTCACAGGTGGGGCACAGAGTAGATTTATTTTTTAAATTTTTTATTTTAAATCCACTTGTAAAAGGAAAGTACTCTCAAGTTGAATAATTACAGGAAATTATTGACAGAAATGATAATTCTGTGTTTCATGTTTCAAAAACTAATGAAAAATTAGAATCTTGTCGATTTTTTCTATACATGTACCAAAACTGTTTCAAGTTTTAGATTAGCAAGACCGACTCAATTGGATAAGTAGAGTAGAATTACCTGAGGAAACAACCATCATATATGACACGAGCTCCATTTGCTGCTGAGCAATTCCTGATCTGAGCAACAGCTGCATCGTAGCAAGCCAAACAATCAGAATTCGAAAGATAATTTCTACACTGAACCATGGCATAGACTGGATCCGAAGATCTTGACTGCTGCGCAGTGGCGAACAGTTTGCTTTCATTGGACAGCTGATTTCGCAGGTCGGAAAAGGTGGCGTTAAGGTTGTCGAAAAAGTTCCTTATATTGGTTGCGTTGTACTGGCTGCACCCCCTATTCAGCAGATTGATCTGTGGCTGCGCCGTGGCTTGTTTTGATATGGATAACACCACCACCACCCATGATATTAGGCTGAGCCACCACCGTGTGACGGCGCTGCTTGCCATTGGTTTGCTAATTGCTAAGCGTTGAAAAAATTTGGGCACAAATACAGAAGGAAAATTCCGGGTGGTATGTTCGTATTGATGAGTAGGAGTGATATATAAACGACTAAATTCCAACCTAGCCACTATAATACCAGTTGTTCATTGAATTATGACCAAGAATTTGGCATTGACTTCAGCCCACGGATTGAAGACTTTAAGTCAATTTCCTTCTTTGAATAATCAACGCCTTTATTCATATGATTTCTATTTATGTATTTATCGTAACTAGAAAAGGCTTTTTATTATGCATATGATTTGACTTCATTTAAATGGCAGAGAATTGCAATTGTTATGATGAAATGTATTGGATTAAACATTTACCTTAATTCCACTTGTTATTAGTCAAATTCGTCATTGTTATTGTGTATTCTCGAATTCAATGAATATAAGGTGTGTCATTCTTTTCTTGCATTATTTTGCTCGATTTGCTGCATCGAAAATAAAAAATAAAAAAAATGAACATCTTGTACCGCGCGAATTTATGAAGGGCTATTCTATGAATACATTAGAGGGCACATAAAGGTATCCAAAATGGACACCCAACGGCCCCCTATTGGAGGGGGCTTGTGCGCCATTGGAAGGGTCCAATAGGAGGCCGCCGGATGTCTATTTTGGACACCTTTATGTACAATATTATGTACCCATAAAATAATTCATTTATGAAAACTATTTTCACCCTCCTTCTCTTCCGTTGATGAGCCAGTGTTATTGCTTACAAATATATAAGAGTGTGTTTGATTGACTTTATTTTTTAATGAAAAAGTCTTTTTTTTTTATACCAAAATTCTTATTTTTGGATTGTTTGATTGACAATTTTTTCATGGAATCCATGTTTAGGTCATGTGTGATGTGACCATATGTTCCTCAAAAATAAGGAAAATATTCTTTTAGGGAGATGTGATTTTTACTTTTCAGGTAATTCACTCTCTTTTTCTATCTCTCATCTATTATATCTTTTTCATCTACCCACCAATAAAAATTAAACAAATATAATATTTTTAAAGTTGAAAACTAAATTAATTAAACAAATTTAATTAATAATTTTCATACATTTATCATGTAAATTACATGCTTGCAATCAAGCACACCATAAATGTCACTTATAAAAATATCAAATTTGTTTATTCCTAAGTTACACAAACTCAAATCAACCTAAAACAAATCAAAACTTTTTTTTTTTTTTGTGTCTATTTTAAAGAGTAATGCTATTCAAGATCATCTTCGACCTAAGTGAGAGAGACACTCGAAATTATCATTATTTTTTTTCGATCGTCGTTCTTCAACAATCAAGGCTTTTACTTTGTAGACAAGAGAGCCACGTGCCCCTACTAATGATAGGGGGTCTACGCAGTCCTGTTCATTTAGCATTATTTTTGTAGAGAATATGATGAAAACATAGAACACTAAACCTTTTTTATTTTTTTTATGACTCAAGTATTATAGTTTCGCTGAGCTAATCCTAAGAAGTGGCAGTCTTCTCGTTAATTCGATCACAACTTACACATACTTGGGTTGAACATTCAGGAGCAATTCTCCTCCCTGTGAACCTCCATTTACAACGTGCGGACAAGACCCGAAGGGAAAACAAAGCACTATAACTTTGTCTTCACAGAACATCTGTATTCCAACATAAATGTTGCCTTCCACCTATCGCAAGAATTCGAACCTCCAATACTTCATAAAAAATAATAAACTTTGCATTATCTGATGGTGACTAGAAGTAAATAATTTCTCACATTTGAATTAAATGTCAAGTTTTCAATCGCCATTCTTGTGGCTCAAATCAACTATTGAATATTTGCACTTTGATCCTGAAACTTTTAATTTCTTCCTTTTTCAACTGTATTTGCTTATTTCTTCCAATTTCACTTCCAATTATCGAGTTTATCAAACAAAATAAACATTCAAGAAATTAGGCTATAATTGATTATAAGAACTCCTAAATGTCAATACTTAAAGGTTTATGTAACATCAAGCATGATTCTTTTGTCATATGTTTGATATATTAAATTATAAACAGAATTAAAAATGATAAATATATATGATTGTTAAGGTTTCAACTTTCTCTACAAACAATCGCATGGATGAGTGGCTGAGAAAACTTAGTCAACAACGTGACTAACTATTAGAGTGTGTTTGATTGCACACATTTTCCATGGAAAATGGGTTTGTTCTACCTAATTTCCTACTTTTGTCTTGTTTGATTGACAATTTCTTTCAAGGAACACATTTTCCTTCTTTTGGTCATGTGACCACATTTTCCTTGAAAACAAGGAAAATATTTTCTTTAGCGGAAGGTGGATTTTATTTTCCACGGAATTTAACATTTCCAAAAAATTCTAGGTAACCAACCCACATTAATCTCTCTCTCTCTCTCTCTCTCTACCCACATACAAATCACTACCGTCTCTCTCATCGATTCAACCGAACTAGGAAGAAGAAATCGACCGCCCTTCTCTGCTTCTAGATCTGCCTCCAGGGAAATCACTGTAAAAGGTTGGCAACGAGGCTGTGACTGTATCAATTGAGGTTAGTTTAACAATCAAACCACCATATTTGATTTCTATATGTTTAATTCTTAATTAGACTGAGTACAAAGCAATTCTTTTTTAACCAATCTTGTCGATTCTCTTTGTTTAAAAATTAGGGTTCGTTTTTTCATGGGCACCTCATTATTTCAAGTTGCAGATTCCAATTTTGTTTTTATTTTTCTTGATTTTGAGATTCCACGTGATTGGATGCGGAATGGAACATGGATTCCAGAATTTTTCTTATCTGTAATGACCCCCAACAAAGCAAATTTTTACCACCTTGGATTTGTCATATTACAACCCATTTCATAATCCAGTTTTTTTAATATCATTTTTTTCAATTTCATGTTCTCTGTACCATGTCAAATTTTTTTTTCTCTACTCCATCCCTGTTCAACTTGATAGTTAATGGGTGGTGTTGTCTACACAATACACTGTGTTGATTGATGGGTGTTGTAAGAATGGTGAAGTTGAAAAGGCAAAGGAATTGTTTTGTAAAATGGAAGAGCTGGGTTTGGTTGCTAATCTATACACTTAAGCTATTTTGATAAATGGGCTCTTTAAGAAAGGACTTAAAAGAGATGGATTCGAGCTCTATGAGAAGATGAAGCTTGATGGGGCTTTGCCCGACTTGTCTGCTTGCAATTCTGTTTCTGTGATGTATGAGTATTGCAAGGATGGTAAGATGAGCAAAGCCTATGAACTGTTTGATGAAATGCGGGAGGGAGGAGTGGCATGTAATGTTGTGACATACAACACTTTGTTTGTGGATTATGCGGAGAAAAGAGCATGGGGGAAGCAGAAAAAATGCTAGTTCGAATAAGGAGGAGGAATTGCAAAGAAAAATGGAAGAGGAACAAGTAACCGGTTAGAAAATTGAAAAAAAAAATCGTACAGAGGAGCCCCTATCATTGAACTATGTCTCATTTCCTGTCATCGAACTGTGTCTCATTAATTATTTTTGACTGGTCAGCATTTTTTATGCAAAGTTCGTTAGGTTAATTATTGGCCATAGTACTTGATACTAATTTTTGTCTTATGGAGTTAGATCGAGACAAATGAAAACACGTTGGAGGAACTTAATCCAGAGACATGGACATTTTTCTTCTTGGTATACTTAAGTTACCCTCTGCTCCAGAAGTCATAGTTATTAGGACCTATCCCATAGGTTCTTAAGCAGTGTTTGGTCCCCATTATTTTCGAAATAATTTTTTCTCTTTTATATTTGACCATGCATTGTTTAATCCATTTTTAATTGTCTTTCTTTTTAAATTTGGGTTCCTGTGATTTAGATGTTCATTTGTCATAGTTGGCCAATTTTTTGTTGCTTATCATTCCAAGATTCTAATAATATAGTAATATGTAATGTAAACTAGAGATAGATTGATTTGTAAGAATAATGCTCAGTTTTAATCTTCTAGTGCAAGCAGTTTGTATCATTTCTAGTTTATAATCATCTCATTGTATTGGAGACAGTTATTTTATTGTTTAGAGTTCACTGTACCTACTATTAATCTCTGATTAGAGGGATAGTTGAAGATTTAGAAGTAGCTTAACAATTTATGTCCGTGGGTTTATGTTCTTGATTTTATTAATTGGGGGATTACTGTGATACAAACGAGTTAGGGAAGCATGAAATTGAAAAAAATGATATTAAGAATTCTAATATAACTAGTTGACATTATGCTTGGAAGCTCATGCAATGAATTTCTATTATGATGTAGCTACAGTTAACTTTTTATCCTGTAATGCTTTTATGTCATTCTTTCTAAACAAATTTTTATTGAATTTTTATTTACCGTGGTAGTTTATAACATGGCTACAACAACGAATCAACGTTGATATCGACGATAACATTTAGGTTTATTTTGGACGATGGTCATGCTAACGATTGTGATATATAATGAACTTAGGCGTCGTGCACCCAAGACCTCCCAAGCGAATCCTAATTCTAGGAATCGTCAAATACGTTGGAGTGATGCAATGAACGGTTGTATGATAAGTGCACTACTACATCAAGTGTTGGCTAGTCACAAAAGAAGTGACAATGGCTTTTTTCCAAAGCAATCGAAAGTGTGCACAATGGATGCGGGGTCGTGGTGTCTGATAAGAATGTGAGGACGCAATTGAAAACTTTGAAAAAAGAATATGTTGAAGTTCGTCAATTGTTAAGTATGAGTGATTTTGGGTTAGATCCTCACATTGGATGTGTCACAGTCGATGTACTAGCTTGGAATGAGTTGTTGAAGGTACAAAATTTCATTGACCAACGAAAGTATTATTCCTTAAATATTAGTAATATAATTTATTTTTACCACTGACTAGCGTAAAACATATTTAACTCTTTTTCTTGTAGGGCAAACCAGAATTTGGAAAGTGGAGGACCAAACTTTGTTCTCGTTATGATGATTTGGAGGCTATCTTTAGAAATGATTTTGCTACAAGAGATCGTGATGTAACCAGCAATGACATCTTATCCCCCGATCATGGTACATACTAGATTGTACATAAAAATTTATATAATTCGTATTATATTAGAGATTCTAACAAATTCTTATTTTATTATTTGTTTAGATGAAAATGTGCATGAAGTTGATG